TGATGCGCTGACACAACCTGTTGATATAACTGCATAATCTATTTATGGCTATCCTAGGGCCCCTATGTAACAACCCTCTTAATGCAGCTGGTAACAAGTTTTGTACTAGGACATGATAATCAGGCGACTTCAAACTACCAATATTTGGAGGGTTAAGTGAAAATGGTCTTCTCTTTCTTCGATTACCAGTAGGCAGCTGGAGGTAAGTATGTTTTCTTTCCCCTCACCTCTGTGTGCAAGTGCTTTCTGATTCCAATATCTTCCAAGTCTTTTCTTGCTTTCAACCCATCTTTAGACTTCGCACTTTGCATTAAAAGAGACAATATAGCATCATGCACATTTTTTTCTACGTGCATAACATCAATATTGTGAAGAACAGGTAACTCCTAACACATTAAGCAAGAAATTGTTAAGCATATTCATTTACAATAATTATAATAAAGGTCAATTACTATACTTTAACTTCCAGTAAGGTAGTTCAAAGAATATTTATCTCTTCTTCCACCGCCATAGTTCATTTGATTCTTTACACTCTTCTTCTTCAACCCTCTCATCATCTTCTAACTCTGGTCTTTTCCTTTTTTGTTTCCTTCTCAAGAGGTCTACTAAAATCATTTGTAAAAGCTTGCAGTGTCTCATATATCTCAGCTCCTGTTTGTATCCTATTTTCATTCCCTTCCTCCACAGTGTTGGCAAACCAAGCTTTTTTATATCTGTAACGATGGCCAGGCGGTAGTCTCTTTCTATTTCCCATGTAGACAAACTTGCGGCTAAACTTAAGCCACCTTGCAGGTGTATCCTTTCCACATACATTGCAGGCTTGTTTCCCTTTTACTTTACATCCAGACAGTGTTCCTAAGGCTGGATAGTCACTGATACTCCAAAGCAGCAAGGCTCTTAGTTTGAAATTCTCCTTTGAAAAAGAGTCATACACTTCAATACCCTGAGCCCAAAAATCTTTTAGATCGTCTATCAGTGGTGCTAGGTAAACATCGATGTTATTACTAGAAGCTGTTGGACCAGGGATCAACAAAGTCAACATTATATTCTCATCCTTCATACACATGGTTGGAGGCGTGTTATAGTTCACTAACAACAGTGGCCATGTGTTGTGATTGGTGTTTTGCATGGAGAAAGGGTTTATCCCATCAGCAGAAATCCCAAGTCGATGATTCCTTGGATCAGCAGCAAAGTCTGGCCATTTATCATTCACTTGGGCCCAAGATATAGAATCAACGGGGTATCGCATTGTACAATCTTCAGTGGCACTGGTATAGTGCCAATGCAGATCTTCAGCCATCTTTTTTGATCTAAACATCCTCCTAAACTTGTCCTTGATTGGAAAATATCTAAGGACCTTTGCCGGAATCGCGACCTTTATTTCATTACTGTGCTTATCCATCTCCCATCTTGAAACTTTGCATCTTGGACAGCTTTCTAGGTTCTCATACTCCTTCTTATACAGTATGCAATCATTCTTCCAAGCATGAATACTGTCATAGCCGAAACCAAAGATCTTCAGAATTTCTTGATTGCAGCTAAACTCTTGGGAAGAACATTGTCTTCAGGTAGTAAATCCCCAAGTAAAACCAACAGCTGATCAAAGTAGTTCTCCGACACACCACTTTTAACCTTGAATCTGTAAAGACCCATGATGGCTGAAACCTTTGTGTATCTGATACAACCCGAGAACAATGGAGTGTTTGAGCGTCTCTTAGCTTTTTCCTAAACTCATATTCCTCTGGTGCTTCATCAACTTCATTTGTCTCTACCCCATTCTCAGTAGTCTGATTTGGACCTACTTCATCCGAGAATGCTGTCTTAAACAAATCAAATACCTCCGTTTCATATTGAAGACCACTGTCCTCTGCATAATCTCTTTTTCACCATTATCCATTGGTCAAGCTATTTTGTATCCCACCACATCTTCAAGATTTAACACATCCGTCATAGGCCTCCAGAGTGAAGCTACTGAGCGTAGTACAGACTTAACCACGAGAGCCACTGCATTATGACCAATTGGAATGCGACCAATTTTGTACTTCGGTTCAGCAGAGCAGAATTCTCCTTCGCCAACAAAAACATCTTCTGATTCAATCCAATCCAGGATTTGCACTCTGACTCCTTCTTTGAATCCACCACCACTCTCAGATGTTTCAGCATCACCATTACTTTTCTGAGAGAAGGCAAAGGAAATCGTAAATGTTTTAAAACTAATTGACCAAATCTAATGAAAAGGATTACCTTCTTCGCAGTTAAGTCGCGCACCATGCCCTTTAACTCTTCTAGCTCCATTTTCAGTTCTGTAATTTTTGCGTCTCTAAATTGCAGATATGCTAGTTTAGTAGCCGTAATCTCTCTACCAAACCTCCTTACTCGTCCAGGTTTGCCTTTTCCCAAAACCTTGCTCACAGCTTCTTTGCTTATGTTATCAGCAGCTGATGTTGAGTCCATCTGACTATCAAGTGACTGTATTTGTTCATGATACATTCATTTAAACACAAAATAATTCATTATACATAATCAACTTTATTGTCATTCATTCAAAATAATTCATTGACATAATTCTTACAATAGTCTCAGCAAATCGAGTCTTCACAGGTCTACCATCAGCATGAGTGTGTCCCGCAATCCAGACCTTACTCCTACTCACTTTACTTGGGTCTTTACTCTTTTTTTCTATATAAAAAGACATATATCAGTATCATTGTAATTTAATGTACAATATATATTGGAATACGACCAATATATAGATATTTCACTACTCTTTTACCATATCTTAAGCTAAACGAAGCATTCCTTTGCGGCTGGTGGTGTGATGAATCTGATTTCTTCTCATCTCTCTGTACTTGTCACTCATTTCCTACAATATAAATATGACAGTTATTACATCTATAAGAGAAGACCTTTAAGGATGAAAGTTACTTAGTTGTAGATAACTCACCGAGAAATATTTGGTAGTTTTGCTCTTAACCCAAGAGTTTCACATGTGAATTGATGGGATGTTCCTAGGTTTTAAACTTATTCTCTCAGCCGCAGTCTTCACAGCACGTACTTGTGACACTAGCCTCGACTTCCCCGCCCTCCACAAATTTCCCAGCTGCTTGAATATAATAGCTTTCTGCCACTCTTCTTGCAAATTAAACCTCCCCTGCATCACAATAAGCAAAGGTCAAACATGTTTATAATTTCAACTTGTGGTTCAACAAAAAATATATATATAAACCTGAATTTCTTCCCACATTGTTGCTTTAGTAGCTGCATCAAGATTTCTCCAATCAGCAAGTGTAACCGGAACATGTTCCCTCACAAGAGGACCAAGAAAAGACGATAGTGTTACTTAACCAGGTCCAATATGTTCACCAAAGTCATTGAAGGTGACCATAACCTTTTCATTGGGATTTTCAGACACCCTACGCATCTTTGTTGGTCCTCTTTTCTTTTTTTCACTTCATCCCCTCCCAGCTCAACTCCTTCAGTACTAGGTATCTCATCATCTTTCTCCATGCTAACTTCATCTTCTTCCATATCGAGAGCATCTTCTTCGTTCGCTTTTTCATTGCTATCTACAACTTTTCCCATATCGACAGCTTCTTTTTCGTTCTCTTTCTCATTGCTGACCCCATCTTCTTCCATATGGAGAGCTTCTTCTTCACTCCCTTTCTCATTGAGAACTCCATCGTCTTCCATACTGGCCGATTCTTCTTCATTCTCTTTCAATGAGTACATCTTCTTTATCCTCTCCTTCTATCCTACCATCGTCTTTATCATCTTCAGACAATGCCTTCTCAGCCTGATCATCCTTATCTTCTTCCGGTGTTATAGCTTCCGGTCTTATATCTTCTACCTCATCATCCTAACCAGGTGTTACATCTACTACTTCATCATCAGCAGCCACTTTCTTGATTCTAGTACTTCTTCTCGTTGGCGTTAGAACCAAATTCTTCTTTTGGGAAGCCTTTTTCTTTGTTGTTGTTTTAGTCACTTTTAGTGGTGTTGCAGAAGCAACTTGCGGAGTTGGATCTACTACATCCAAGCCTTGCTTACGTCTACTCCGACGAGAACCAACTTTTCCTCCTCCTCTTGTCTTTGCCATTTCTGAAACTGATAAACAGATTCAATCAAAATCCAAAATAAAATTCAAAATCTAATACGAACATCACAAACTTAGACATGCATGTGTCAATAGAAAGTAAGAATAGAAACCCAAATTCAAAATCGGCAAAATCAATCAAAATCGAAATCCCCAATCTAAACCAAAACCTAAAATCAAAAGAGATTCAAATAGAAGAGATACAAATCGACATGCATGTTCACACAAACACAGAATCGAATCGAAGAGATACCAATCAAAATCATAGAGGAAACATTCTAATCTAAACTTAGAATCAAATAGAGATCATACCAATTGACGCTTCGACTCGAGAGATCTCTCGGGATTTTCTTCGAAACTATGAAAAAAGGGTTCCGATTCTAGAATGTGAAGAGAGTGAAGAGAGTGAAGAGAGTGAAGAGAATGAGTAGGAAAAGGACTTAAGTATTTTTCATATATTTTTCTTATACGATAGCAATTATTTTTTGATTTGCAATGTAAGGCGCCTCCACTTACCAAACAAACGCGGGTGAATTGTTTTATTTTCGCGCAAATACAAACATAGCTTTTAAAATTTATAAGCGCTATTATAAAGGCCCGTGTTAGTATACAATAGCAGAAATACCAAAAACGCTATCATGCGATGCTATTAATACTCACATTTCATGTAGTGATATGTATTGTATGTTAAAAATAGATAGAAACACCTTAAATGTTGAATACCAAGCATCCTTGAAAAACTGGGGTACTTTTCTCCAGTTGTACCATGGTCCTCTAATATATCCATCAATGATTTTTCTTACATGTGTTGATATTTCAGGGTTGTTCTAGAACCTGTTACAAATATAGTTGATTTTGTTACTTATATACTTTGTAAATTAGAGAAGAATGATTCAAAATATATCACTATACCATTTCGCTCCATTCCTTCTATATGGATGAAGCACTCGAGAATCTTGTTCCACAGGTACAAATTCTTCCCTTTGTTCGTTTGGTTGGGCATTTGCAGCAACTGCTTCCCTCTGTCTTTGGAGACCAACAGATTTAAGAGATGATCTTCCAAAAAAGCAATAGCCTAACATCATTGGTGGACTCATCTATAATAGTACAAAAGAAATCATGGAAAAAGATGCAGCGCAAAAGTATTAGATCATGCATAACAAACAATACACAAAAACAACCGATTTACGGCAAAAAATAAGAAAACCAAAGAGATTCTCACCTTAGCGGCTTTGATTGTCTAAGATGTAGTTTTAGGTTTTTATGTTTTAACGTGAGAAGAGGTAACTAATATTACTTCCTTTATAAAGTAGTTAAATATAAGGATATTTCTGAATATTCTTACCACTTTTTAAAGGATTTTTCCCGATTTCCACTTAACTGTTTTAGGTTTTGCCACTCTAATGTAAAAATCTAACTATCTCTTTATAACTTGAAAGGCGCCATTAAGAAAAAGATAGACCAAAAAAACAAAATAAACAAGTATACCTTGGTATTCTATTCAACGACATTGAACTGGTCAAAGATGAAAGCATATCCTTCAGAATCCGCAACAAACGGCATATAACTTCTTTGAGTTTTTTCCCATGAGAGAGGTCCTCACCTTGATTAGTATAAGGTCCCCACCTTCCCCCTCACAGATGAAATCCCAGCATTTACATATTCTTGTTAAGAACACATGCTAGCCATTATCTTGTAATAGTCCACACATGTATAAAACAAACAAAAGAAAAAAGAAAGAACGAAAAAAACTAGGACGAGACAGGATATAACATAAACAAAAGAAGTAATAGCACAGAATCTGTGATCAAGAAATTTATAGAATTCTCTGATAAGGGAAGCTGAAGGAAAATCACTATCAGAAAGACCAACAACACACTCAGAGACAGTAAACCTCACTTAGAGCATCTTAAGCAGCATAGTTAACCCAAGTACCTGTTTCTTTTCGAGCATCTTAAGCAGCAACGACTGTAAGAGGTTGATTACTCCATCCCACAAGGCCTATCGGATAACAGGATCAGACCTTCTAGGAACAACTCGGACCGGCCCATTAACCAATTACGCCTCAGCTCGACCCTAGTTTAGTCGTCTCCTCGACTAAATGACGAGAGATGGTTAAGTGAGAGTACACGTTAACGGGCCCATCAGCGAGAGGCCCCTGAATGGATGTCGACCTAGGTCATTTAGGGTAAAAAGAGTACACTATAAAAGGGGAGAGACGAGGAAACGAGAGGTATATCCTAAAAATCGAGCACTCACTCACAAGGCGGCTAGAACTAGTATTTTACCTCTTTGTACCTTTTCGACTTGTACTTTTCCGGCTAATCTTCGAGTGATGCCGTATCGTCTCATTTGTTTCCTGATTTGTACACCAACTCTCTCATTAATAAACTTACTTATCCCCTAATAAATAGAAAAACGCTTTTGAAATAACCCACCGACGAATCTAGTTACTCTCTTTACTGATAAGCGACCGAACTCGGTTCAAAAAGTTGGCGCTCACCGTGGTGCATAACAAAGTAGCGTAAAAAAAAGATGAGTCTGAGTAACGATTCAACTTCCGGCGAGGAAGGAGATGCAGTAGCACCAACTCCGGCTACAGCCGTACTACTCGTCCCAACTTTCATCGACAACGTCATGGAACGCTTCGCACAGCATGAAGAAGCTTATAGAGAAACCCTTGAGAAACTCGCCGCCATAGCAGCCATCCTCACGCCGTTCACCGAGACGGCGGTCACTAACGAACCCTTCCTAAGACAGCTGTTAAACACTGACAGAACAGCTAACCCCAACGGGCAGGTCGCTNACTACTCGTCCCAACTTTCATCGACAACGTCATGGAACGCTTCGCACAGCATGAAGAAGCTTATAGAGAAACCCTTGAGAAACTCGCCGCCATAGCAGCCATCCTCACGCCGTTCACCGAGACGGCGGTCACTAACGAACCCTTCCTAAGACAGCTGTTAAACACTGACAGAACAGCTAACCCCAACGGGCAGGTCGCTCGAATGCAGGCTCAAAGCGTCGAGGAGCAAACCAACACCCCCGTCATCCCAGATCTACAGACTTTCCAAGAGAAAGCCGCTCTTAAGCAGGCCCTCCTCCACACAAACTCGAAGATCCATGGTGTCACAACCTCCGCTCTGCTCATCGAGAGCGTCCTCGCGGATACTCTCCCAATGCCGTTCACCAGCAAAATAAGTAGCATACGACTCCACAAGATGGACAAGGTCCGCTTACCATTCTACGACGGTCTCTCAGTCCTGACTGCTCACATTACGTCTTTCAACGTCTCTATAAGGCGACCAAATTTCTATGACGAGGAGAAAGATGTCGGCTTTCGCCAGCTCTTTGTCGAAAGTTTGACTGACGCAGCCCTCATGTGGTTTACCGGAAAACTCTGTTGACAACTTACACGATCTGTCATCAGCTTTCCTCACGAACTACATAATGTTTACTCGTCAAGAAGCCACGGCTTCAGATCGTTGGAACCTCTCTCAATCACAAGGAAAAAGCCTTCTCGAATTCATGGAAAAGTTTAAAGCCATCATGTCCAAAGTCAAAGTCCCGATAGCATCGCTGTGGATGCCCTCATGCACCCTGTACGTGCACTCAAAGTTTCGAGTCGACCTGTACTGCCATCCGAATAAATCCATGTCGGACGCTATTGCCCAATCAAACAACTTCATCCTCATGGAGGAGGACACTAAAGCGATCATCAGCAAGCAGAACACGACGAGCATGCGTAGGTTAAGAGTTGCGAAACTCGTCCAGACCCGCGGCAGCAAAGCAAATCCAAAGAAGAGTTTCGTTTACGTTGTCAACAAGGATGCTCCCTGGATCCACAGTCGTGGTCCCAGGAAAGGGATGGAATCATTGGGACTGAGTCGACGACGACCAGAAAACTCCAGGCGCATCTGAAGCATCAGGGTCGAATCCCACAGAACCAGACAAGTATTGCGCCTATCACAAGAGCAAAAAGTATGACACGAAAGAATGCAAAATCTTGTACGAGCACTTCCTCTCATCTACTGCTAACTGAAAATTGGAGGTCAAGCCTCTTAAAACAAAGCCGAAGAGCAACAACTGGAGCAAGAACAAAGACAAGAAGGCTCAAAATTCGCAAGGAAAAACTCCGCGATCCGAGCCAAAGACGAACTCTGAGGAAGCCACCCCCAAAGCACAGGAAAAAGGAGACTCGTCTGCCGACGAAGAGCAGCCGAGAAACCGGCGAAGAGTTGAAGTCATCTACGCGCATACCTCAACAAGCGACTTACCGAGAGGGATGGTCTGAGTTTCGTAGACCTAAGACACAGGCTGAAGCGACGAAACATCGCAACGGAGACAACACCATCGGATACTGCGGAGACAGAGAACACGGTCAGCACTCCAAAAACCAGGCGAGCCGAACCTGCGGATGATCTAGACACGCGCAATTTCTTCCCAGACAGCATCAACTTGAGGAGTCACCTGAACTCGAAGATCAATGACCTCCGCCTCAAACTCAGCAAGACAAAAACCCCAGACTTACAACGATAGCTCGAGGCGACAAAAGATAGACGTGCAAAGAATCTGAGCGTTGTGTGCTCGCCCTACGACATGCGCTCGCATATCCGGAACAAGCGAGAAAACGTTATCATGCGAGGATCTCCCCCATGCGGTGATTTAGTTTGTTTGGTCAAAGCCCACCAACGCCAAACGAAGACTTCGCAGAGATGGCCATCCAAGCCCGAGAATGATCCTACGATCATGTTCTTGGCGGATGATGCTATCGGATTCCATATGCCGCACAATGACCCGTTACTTATCGAACTGGGCATCAGGGAATGAGAAGTCACCAATTACTGATTAAGACTGGCAGCTCGGCCGATCTTATTTTCCAAAAGACCCTTGAAAATATGGGAACTGAACTACATCTCATGAAACTATCGAACCACTCATTAACAGGATTCAATGGAGTATCGAAAGAAATGATCGGCACAATCCGACTACCCATCTACACTGGCGTTAGTCGCATGGTCAAGTTCTCCGTTATCGCAACTGAAGCACCCTACCACGTTATACTGGGCACGCCATGGCTTCACTCGATGAAAGCAATTTCCTCCACTTACCATCAATGCGTCAAGTTTCCTAGAAACGACGAACGAATCAAGACAATACGAGGCGATCAGCAGGCCGCGCGTGACCTTCCAGTCGCTAACGTCAAGCTCCAGCAACCAATCCCTTGGGTTAACATATCACTAAGCCTATCCAAAAATATACCCCCAGAAAGACAAGGTCCTGGAAGTACATATCGATGACAACGATCCCAGCAAGATCGTACGAGTAGGAGGCTTCATCTCCGACGAGATGCAACAAACGATCATTTCCTTCCTCAAAGAAAACGCGTACAACCTCTGACATGAAGGGGATTGACCCGAAGATCACCTCGCACAAACTTAACATCGATCCCACATTCAAACCCATCCGACAGAAACGACGGAAGCTTGGTCCTGAACGATCGAAAGTCGTTAACAAAAAAGCCGAGTGATTGCTCGCGGCCGGATTGATCACCGAGGTACGATACCCAGAGTTGCTGGCGAACCCGGTTGTCATGAAGGAAAAGAACGGAAAGTTGTGCGTTTGCATCGACTTCACAGACCTGAATAAGGCATGTCCGAAAGATAGCTTTCCTCTCCCGCATATCAATCGATTGGTCGAGTCGACCGCTGGAAAAGAACTCCTCACTTCTATGGACGCATTCTCCTGGTACAATCAGTTCACAATGCATCCCGGCGATCGAGAGTAGACAACGTTCATAACCGATAGAGGGAGATATTGTTACAAGGTCATGCCTTTCGGACTTAAAAACGCCGGCGCGACATACCAACGCCTAGTCAATCAAATGTTCGCCAACAAACTGGGAAAAATAATGGTAATATACATCGATGGCATGCTGGTTAAGTCGCTACACGCAGCCGACCACCCAGCCCACTTACAAGAATGCTTCAAAACATCGAATGAGTACGGAATGAAGTTGAACCCCGCGAAGTGCACATTTGTTGTCACCTCGGGGGAATTCCTCGGTTACATCGTCACACAACGAGGAATCGAGGCG